CCCGACTCCGGACAGGGGTGCCGCACGCGGTCGACGCCCGCACGCCGACGAGCGGGCCTGTCCGCACGGTCAACCAACCACCCGCCGGTGCGGTCGTCGCGGTCACCCCAGGGCATGCGTCGCCAGCGTGCAGCGCTGTGGTGCGCGAACGCCTCCGGCCTCACCGCCTTGGCCGAGGCTTGAGCCAGCCTCGCGCGGACGTGGCCGACGTCCAAGTTTGCGGCCTGGTGTCTTGACGCGCTGCCCAGGTCCGGCTATCAGCGCTGCATCGTGGTGGGACCGGCTCAGCCCTCTGGACACCTGACGCCGGCGCGGAGACGTGCGCGAGCGTTGCTCCCGGCTGGAGCCTTGCACATCGACGTCGACGGTCTGTCTTCGCCCGTAAATAAACTGTACGCAGCCGGTGGACATAAGCTCAACTGCTGCGAGACGATCACATGTGACGTGGCCTCAAGCGCGAACACAGCTGCCGTGACTGTATGTCATGCAGGGAATCGACAGCGCTCTGCTCTCATGACATGAACCCATCCCCCTCCGTATACTGTCGCCGTATACAGTACATCTCGGTATACTGTCGCCAAACCTCCCTGTCCACCTCGTGAGCATCACCACCAGCTCCGCCGCTACCGCCCCTGCGCGGCCAGCCCCTTCGCCGCCAGCCCAGGTGCCACAGTGTGACGTCAGTATCGTCCAGCGGGATGCGATGCCACGGCTGACGGCCGGCAGCACCTCGCCGGGCACGCAGTGGGCGGTGCCGCACGCCTCCCACGCATATGATGCACTAGCTAACAGAACACGCACGGAATCGGTCTTCTGACCCCGTCAGTTGCGCACGTGAGCCGTTCCGTCACTGGGACCGGGCTCTCGTGGAGCCCTTGCGGAAGGAACGGGCAGCTCACCTCGCGGCATTCAAGGAGGTCTCCCCGTGCGCTGCCAGCACGGCCTCGCCACTTGGTGAGAGGCCTAGCGTCCCGGCACGCATCGCACTGACGGACGACGCTCGTCCGCATGCATTCGCGGCAGCGCAACCCATCCCGTTCGCGTGGTTGGATGACATCCGCTGGCAGTTGGATGAACTCCTAGAGCGGGGTGCCATCGCTCCTGCCGACTTCCTCACCAGATGGTGTCATCCCATCGTTCCGGTGGCGGAGCGAGCCGATCCTGCCGGCAGGAAGGGATCGTCAGCCCGCCTGACCGTGGACCTGACCCGGCTGAACAAGACCGCTTGGTGGGGCGGCCCGCCGGTGCGCACACCGCAAGACAAGGTCCCCAGCATCGGGGTCGGTGCGCGCCACTTCATGAAGCTCGATCTGCTTGATCTGATCTCGAAGCCCGGTCTGGCTTCTTCCAGGTGCCACTCGGCCGCCGTGACCAGGAGCACGTCATTCGCGTCTTGAAGCGGTGTGACGCAGCAGGCATCACGCCGCACCCCGGGAAGCTGCTCTTCGCCGGGCCATCCGTCAGTTACTGTCACTACGACGTGACCGCCGACCGCTGTACAGTCCACCACCGGAAGGTCAAGTCCAGTGTTAAGTTACCCACACTGGTCAGCATCACCGGCCTGCGCAGCTTCATGGGACTGATGAATCAGCTGGGCGCTGTCTCGTCAGATGCTGCACTGGCAGCCGCGCCGTTGCGGAGCCTGCTCCCACCGCCGGAGCCCCGGAACACGTGGATGTGGACTGAGACTCGCTCCCGACCCTGCGGAGCCTGCTCCCACCGCCGGAGCCCCGGAACACGTGGATGCAGACTGAGACTCGCTCTCGATCCTGCGGAGCCTGCTCCCACCGCCGGAGCCCCGGAACGCGTGGATGTGGACTGAGACCCGCTCCCGACCCTGCGGAGCCTGCTCCCACCGTCGGATCCTCGGAACGCGTGGATAGGGACTGAGACCCGCTCCCGACCCTTCGAAATCGAGAAAAAAGACGCTCATTTCACCTCCAGTACTCGCGTTCTTCGACCTGCAACGGCCCACCGCCCTGCAGGCCGACTGCTCTCGACTGCACGGCCTGGGGTACACTCTGCTGCAACGTCATGGCGAACAACGGTGGCTGGTTCGGCGCGGCTTTCGATTCAGCCCGGTCGCGGAATCCCGCTACGCCGTCATCGAGCTTGAGCTGCTCGGCATGACGTGCGCCGTCCAAGAGTGTTGTCTGCTTCCTGCTGGTCTCTCGTCCTTCGATGTTCTCAAAGACCACCGTGCACTGGTGCACATCCTCAATCAGAGACCCCTGCCGGCGATCGACACCCCGCGGCCGCGTTGTCTGCGCATGAAGCTCCTCGCGTACAGCTTCGCCACAGCCTGGCAGTCCGGCAAGCACCACGGCATACCAGACGCTCTCTCCAGAGCCTGCGCGGACGACCCCCCCCCCCCCCCCCTACGGATGAGCAGATCGCTGAAGAGGACGTTACCCATCAGCTCCACAGCCTCGTCGTGCGCACTGTGACCCAACTCTGTCCAGACGGAGTCCGGGTGCTTTCCATCACACCCTCCACCTCACCGTGCGGGTTGAGACTTATTTTACATGTTAGGAGAGGCCCCCGCGCAGACGAATGAAAACAAAAGGCATGGTTTTTTGTGTGTGGAGTCGGGGGCGGCGCAGGAGGCAGGGAAGGAAGGGAGGTGGGAACAGGGGCAGGAAGCGAGGGAGGAAGGCCGTTGTCCCTTGCCGGCAGGCATGGGACGAGAGAGAGAGAGAGAGAGAGAGAGAGAGAGAGAGAGAGAGAGAGAGAGAGAGAGAGAGAGAGATATATATATATATATATATATATATATATATATATATATATATATATGTGCCGAATTTATTTACGAGTTGTGGTATGAGTAGGAGGAGTAGAAATAGGTTGCTGTGAGAGTTCATTTGCCCTCTTCCCGTCCAAACTCAGCAAGCTCTTTGAAAAGTAACGCTCAGGAGCCCCATCCCCTCCCCAGTCTGTGAGGAGGCCTCATTTTGTCTCCAAGGGGACCGAATAGTAAGTCGCACGTTCAGTGAACATTTGCCCCCGTGATTTGCTGTCGGCCTGCACACCTGACCGGCCTCGGTGCGTCCGGGCGCGGACGGCCGGCCAGCAGGCGCGGCGGCCTGCTGCGGGCGCGAGGAGAGCCGTCTGCACCGGCCGGCCGCCGCCCGCTGGGCGCTGCTGCACCCGGAGGTGGAGCGCAAGCACTGCCAGCACGGTAACCGAACCCAGTCCACGGCGTACGCGCCTGGCCCGAACTCCGTCCGCCGCCGTCCGCTCAGATCGAGCCTCTCTGACGTCCGCCCGCTGAGCCAGCGCTCGTGTGGTTACCATCCGCTTGGATCGTGCTCTTCCGATGCTCGTCGCCTGGCTGACACTCCTTTGATTGTCGTCTGCTTGGTGTGGTATCACCTGCTTGGATCGCACTCTTCCGATGCTCGTCGCCTGGCTGACACTCCTCTGACTGTCGTCTGCTTGGTGTGGTTACCATCCGCTTGGATCGTGCTCTTCCGATGCTCGTCGCCTGGCTGACACTCCTCTGACTGTCGTCTGCTTGGTGTGGTTACCATCCGCTTGGATCGTGCTCTTCCGATGCTCGTCGCCTGGCTGGCACTTCTCTGATTGTCTTCTGCTTGGTGTGGTGTCACCTGCTTGGATCGCGTTCTTCCGATGCTCGTCGCCTGGCTGTCACTTCTCTGATTGTCGTCTGCTTGGTGTGGTATCACCTGCTTGGATCGCGCTCTTCCGATGTTCGTCGCCTGGCCGGCGCTCCTCTGACTGTCGTCTGCTTGGCTTGGTATTACCTGCTTGGATCGTGCTCTTCCGATCTTCGTCGCCTGGCTGGCATTATTCTAATCATCACTTGCTTGGATGGTGATCTTCAAATGGGCGTACATCCGTGCTGATGTATGCTCTTCGACGCGTGGCTGAAGCGCTTGGAATTGGAATTGCGATGATGGACGGTGTCGGTCTCTGCCGCGTGCTGCCATTCTTATCATTCGTGCTTGCGCATGAGGGTTGCGGAGCAAGCGCTGCGCAGCGGGCGAGGATGCATGCACATCGTGCTTCATGTCCATGAGAGCACCTGGCTGTTAATGTGTAGGGTGACTCGTAAAATCTACAGAGCTCCTATGCACCCATGAAGCAAATAGATGTAGGCCGGGCTGAACTAGATTGTTAATAAAGGATGGTGAATGTTTTGAAAACGTGGCTAATGACTGTTAAGGCAGTGAATCTGTCGAAGACTGAAGCTCATATTTAACTGACGCTGGGCTAGATCGCTCCATGACAAGTTGGGCTTATACTTGGATAGGTTGCTTAGTGGCTGTCGTGATGTGTCCAGTGGTTATTTTCCCTTTTTACCCGATGGATGCACAATGCAGCAGTGCGGTGTACGGAGACTTGTGGTGATTTTCATGACGGTTCATTTTGCTGAAATACTTCCTGATGACACAAGTTTTCTTTAAGCAACAGTGGCCCCAATTCTTGCAAGCCTCACACCGTGTAAATATTTCCAAAAGCTTGGAATTAATCACAACGATGATGCACGCATAAAACTTCTGGAAAAAACTGTCTTTTGGGTCAGCCTCCCCATCACAATGTTCGTGAAGCTCCCTTTTGCAACTCTCCTCCTTTAGAAGATCACAAAACGCTTGAACAGACAAAGCCTTTCCGTCGCATATCTCGTGCAAACCCTAACGTATGCGACAAGGATCAGTATTCGCATGGCCAGCTATTGTGGAAACAAGCCATCTGTGTCATCAGGATGTTTCACATCATGCTCCATGCATACATCCAAGGCTAGGCAACAGGTCATTCAAAACGGTGACAAAAAACAATACTTGACTATTTATTATTTGGTTATCAGGCGATTACTAGTTTTGGCGTAGTACAAGGAGTCTGAGCCCCACCAAGTTCCATGCCGCGTTCGGCCTTGATTTTTGTTGATATGGTAGCTGACCGCTCACAACTCTGCGGTGGTCGGACTCGGCATCATGGACTAACGGACTTTCTGACATAGGGTTATCCCTTTCCAGGAACCTTGTCGCCCAGCTCGTCTGGACATCTTGTGCACCAGAACGCCCTATCAGCAAACACCTACAGTTTCGGAAATCAGTCGAGCCAGGTGAGCAGGGGCGCTGGGTGGGCGAAGCCAATCTAACTGTCAGATGAGCTATAATGATGGATGTTTACCTATTGCAATCAATCATTCAGTGACATACATCGTGAAGCGATTCGGTCGTCCCTTCTCTACTGGCCGACGGTCAGCCCGTTCTCCCCCTCTCGCTCGGGTGCTGCCTCTGACGAATCCGCATCCCCCGCCCCCCCTCCCCGCAGCAGCTGACCGGTCTGCTGCCGTCTCCACTGACTCGGCCTGCTTCCTCTCTCCCTGGGGTGCTGCCTTTGACGGAGCCGCATCCCCCGCAGCACCTGACCGGCCTGCTGCCTTCTCCACTGACTCGGCCTGCTCCCCCTCTCTCTGGGGTGCTGCCTCTGACGGAGCCGCATCCCCGCAGCAGCTGACTGGTCTGCTGCCGGCCGGAGGGCACCACACAGCCGAGCCCGCCGGCTCCCAGATGTTCCCCAGCATGTCCGTCAACGTCAGCATGAACATGAACATCGGCGTGTCGTCCGGATACCAGCTGCCGGACGAGTCCTTCGCGCACCAGGTGACAGCGTGAACGCGCTTGACATGCTTGTCCTCATGGACCACGCGTTGAAGGCACGCGGGATGACGTGATATGTGATCGTGAAAAGGATACTGTTCGACAAGACTGTTCCGCGTGCCAATCACCGGTCTCGATAGCACGGTGAGCGGTGAGCGTAGAGCGATGAGTGCCGGAACACACGTGCGCTGAGACCTGCGGCACGGACTGAGTCTGGAGATGGCGGTGTGAAGGTGACGCGTGCCGCTTTGTTCCGCAGCTGCCGTGGAGTGGCAGTCCGCCCCAGTACCCGTCCGGCATGTTCAGCCCCCAGCCGCCCCTAGTCAGCCCTCTCTCCATGTCGGCCAGGTGAGCAGCCACGTCGCTGGTGCGCCTGTGCACGGATGCATTCTGAACGGATCACATGACTTATTTTGCCTTCCCTACACGCCCCAATGTAATTTCCTTCAGTCAAGTCATGACCATGACGTACATCAGTGCAGTGTATTGTTTCGTATCCAACGACCAATCGCAACGTGCCCATCACGCTTCGAAATCTGCTCCGAAAGGCACTTGACAAATGAGCAAACGAATGCCTGTGCGGGATCCGAACTCAGCAGTCCTGTCCATTCTCATCATTAGGTGGTCTTGGAATCACCAGTGCAGCATTCAACATGCGCCTTGTCTGCTCGGGGTAAGAGCGTTAATGACTGCGCGGATCTTGCCCAGTGCCGGGTGCGCCGTTTGTTCAGTGCGCGGCCGCGTTACGGGCTACGCCCTGTGGGCCTGGCGGGCCGGGCCGGTGGCAGCTGGGAACGGGTCAGAGCCGCGCGCGGCCGCATTACTGGCTGCACCCTGTCGGCCTGGCGGGCTGGGCCGGCGGCGGCCGGGGGCGGGTCAGAGCCGTGTGCGGTAGCGTCGGCGGTCCACGGGTGCACACCAGGGGCTTCCCGCCGGCTCCCTGTGGCGAGTCATCGGTCGGCTTATGTTCCCCGGCGCGTCGGAGCCGCCGACATGTGCTTGTCCTGATGTCGGAACTGGACGCGAACATTGGCTGCCCCATGTCATCAGCTTCGAGGCTGTGCGCACACGTTGCAACTGGGCTGGGGAACTGGTATGGTAAAACTCAACACTTGTTACTTCTTACCAATACTCGTTCTGCAGAATTTTGGATCACGTCTATTTTACACAGTTTATTCCGTTACACCCATAAGTCAAACGGACGTCATAGTGTTGCTGCGCCAACACCGTGTCGTTTGTCAAGCGAAGTAACTACAATAGTCAGTGGCTTCAACGATGCACGTTTCCTACCGCTGAGGTGTCTACGCGAGATAAAACTGCACGCCTGCGGGGAGAGGCGTATGCCACGTCATTATTAGATGCGACCGTCTCCGCACATGTGCACCTCAGATAAAACGGTTGAGGAAGGACCAACTCACACAACACGTTGCGTGTGATTGCATCACAGAATTGTCCTTACGAAAGAGGCGTCATCGCATCAGAGATCGTGCCCGGAACACCATTTGTTGCTTTTCGCGTTTCGGTTTGCACAGCCGGTGTCGCGCGCGCCGCGGGGGTTCGGGGGCACGCGCGTCCCAACTGGGACCGGACCCAGTGCAGTTCCGGGCGGGCTGCGGACATGTCCCAGGCGGTGGTCGTCCGCGATTTTAGCCACACTGTTATCAATCTAACGGAAATTCAAGCCGAGCATATATAAATGTGGCCGTTATCTGGAGCGTGATGCAAGCGCAACCGCAGCCACTGGGTCCATGGCGGGTCAGCTGCGCGCGTCACACCCTGAATTAGGGGCACCTGTTTTGTTCTGATTTTTATAAACTTAGTCCGATAATTTTGATTGGATGCATTTCTGGAACAAAGTTCGCGGCAAGCGGTGCTTACTGAGTGAACCCTGACCCCACCATCTTGCGGAGAAATTCCAGTTCAACAGCAGACTTTTATGGTGAGAGTTAAACATGTCACAAAAGAAGAAAGAAAGCTGCACGTGCTGCACGGTCTGCCCCGCCCCCTGACGTTATCTGACCTTGAGCGATCACTGCCAACGGTCGCAGGCCATCCTTGTCAGGGACAAATGGTGGGCTCTGGAGCAGCTTGAACTCACCCACTCCGTCACGTGCAGAATGGGAGAGGGGCGCTCCGACCCGTTGAGCTCGGGAGGCGGACTTGAGCCTGAGCCGTGATGTGAAAGTATTGTGGCAGTCTTATGGCAGTCCTGAGCCGTGATGTGGCAGTCCTGTAGCAGTCCTGTGGCAGTCCTGATCCGTGATGTGGCAGTCCTGTGGCAGTCCTGAGCCGTGATGTGGCAGTCCTGTGGCAGTCCTGAGCCGTGATGTGGCAGTCCTGAGCTGTGATGTGGCAGTCCTGTGGCAGTCCTGAGCCGTGATGTAGCAGTCCTGTGGCAGTCCTGAGCCGTGATGTGGCAGTCCTGTGGCAGTCCTGAGCTGTGATGTGGCAGTCCTGTAGCAGTGCTGAGCCATGATGTGGTAGTCCCGTAGCAGTACTGAGCCGTGATGTGGCAGTACTGTTGTAGTCCTGTGGCAGTCCTGAGCCGTGCTGTGGCAGTCCTGTAGCAGTCCTGTGGCAGTCCTGAGCCCTGATGCGGCAGTACCCTTAACCTGGCTGTGACAGCATGCTTGGCCATGGACGATGCGCCACCCGAGCTGCGACTGCATTGTGACGGCTGGCGTGACCCAGACAGGCGTGGTGATGCGAATCGTGTCATTTCCCGTGACCGCTGTCTTGACTGGTGCTGTGACCTGGACCGTGACCGAAGTGCGGTCTGTGACCTTGAGTGGTGCCGTTGATTGCTACCGTTGAATATGAACGACTGGTTGGAAGCCATGAGCGAGGGTGGAAGGGACAGCCCTCCTCCATCTAATGAAAAAGTTAACATGAGCCCCACGACGTTGCCCGAAGGGGCAAAAACTACGTTTAACTTCCCCACACCCCAAACTCCTTGAAGGTTTCACCGCCCTGCCGTTGACCATCCGCGCTGATGTCGTCGTCAGTTCGTCGGCCGTGCCGTACAGCACGTCGGCCAGCTACGCCTTCACGGCCGACCTGCGGCCGGAGGCCAGCTGGACCCATGCCGAGCGTAGCCAGCAGCTGGCCGCCTCCTTCCGCAGTCTGCGGCGCGTCGACGGCGCCAGCTACGGCTCCCACCTGGACGAGTCGCTGCTGTACGTCTGCAAGACCGAGTCGCCGGCGCTCGGCCAGCTCGACAAGACCAATATCTGCAGGTGGGGTCCGACCCGCTGCTCCGATCGCCCTACGGCAACCTGATCACCCGCCAGGAAAGCAGCCATTTTGCTTAGCTCGTTTATGCGCAGTTACCGCATCGTTACTAGAGCTTTTTAGGAATCACCGCGATTGAATTTCCCTCAACTGTTTGCTCAACGCAGCGTTTGTAGCTAATTGGCGCCTTGGGAATTAATTGGTGCTGGGAACTTGGCCGTGTAGAGGTTGTGGTTCCCGTGGTCATTGCCATATCCATTGGGGTTACTTTGCTCCTCTCGGGTAAGCAGCAACCTTGCATCATAAAACAGGATGAGTTCCTTTTGGTTGAATTGATGGCCACCAACAGCATTGCAGGGTTGGAAAATGGACAAAGCGGGTGCCATTTTCAAGAAGTCTCAACAGTTTGACACAAATATTTGGCATAGGCAGCCGCACCTTGCTGGAGGAGAGTAAAGCCTAAGAGGCGGCGGTCGTCATTGGCAGTGGCGTAAGCAGGAGTCTACTCAAGAGCGGGCCAAGTCGGGTCATCAGAGAGTATTTCAGCTAATGGGGCCACTTAGACGCTATAGGGACCCAATTCGCATTGGGGACTCTTTTAGACTCAGGATCCCAGTCTAATGCCCCGAGAGCCCGTTCTTGTGTGTCAGCAGCTCCTCAACATGCGTATTGCCAAAAAGTGTTCGTGCATTTGGCCCAGGTGTCCCCGCCACCCCCGGAAGGGGAAGGGGGGGGGGGGGTATGGTCCCAGAGGCGTCCTTGACTTCACCACTGGTCGTTGGTTCATCTTTATTTCTAGTCTGAACCATGTCCTATCACGAAGGCGTAACCGTGTCCCATGCAGAATTTCGCGATTGGAAGGGGGTCAACTCAAAGCTCTGCACTGAAAATCCTGTTTGGAGCCCTGCAATATTAACATTCATTCGCACACATATTAATGCACAGAGTAAATTTGAACGGGGGAGGCACGTGGCCTTGGAGGCCATGTGCGTGTGCCGCTGCCCATCACATTCCCAGTCCTCTGTGCCACTCTGAACCCATGTCAAAGCCCCGCGTCGCTCCGCAGGGTATGCGGTAAGGCCTACGCTCGACCCAGCACGCTCAAGACCCACATGCGCACCCACAGCGGCGAGAGGCCCTACAAATGCCATGAGTGCAACAAGTCATTCTCACAGGTAGGAGAGCCCTCACCGGTGTCGAGGACACTTATGGCATGCTCACGCACCTGTTGATGGCTTCCTGTTGTCGGGAAGCTTTTGAAGTTCCGGATGATTGATGAGCGTAGCTTGCGGAGGGTCGGGAGGGGAGGTTTCGACGCACCGGGACACTCTTCGTATGCTCTTCGTGCTTTGTATTCATCTTGGTATGCGTTTGCATTTCGTATTCGTACTCTTCATCAGGCATAGTTTTTTTGTGTCTCCTGCCGCAACTTGAATGCCTTTTTGGGGCTGGTAAGTCACGATATTTCAAGCTTGTAAGGCTAAGGTGGTACTCTTGCGCTCGTCTTCTACCAGTGGCAAACTGTAGTGCGCCGCTTTCAATGTTTAAGGAAATTTCGTAATTTTTGTGCTGTATAGTATCAGGCTTATGCTGCTCTCTAATGTCCCAGCACAACAAAATGCTGCGAATGTTTCATTCCCATCAGTGTAACATCATGCAAGCAATAATAACTCAATTGTGTTTTTGCCGCTGAAATTCAACTAACTAATGCACACATATCACGCATTGCAGCGCACAAGCGCACTTGTATTCGTTGTTATTACGCAGTTCACGTCTGTAGTGTTGTATTTGTTTATCTTAGGAATATTCTAGGCCAATTTTGAAATGTTATGCAGCCGTATTTGATTTTATCAATGTTATGTACCCATAAAGGCTATTAGTATTATATCCGTATGCAATTTAATATCATGAGCATGCGAATAGTATGACTTTATTATATATGGTACACATTTATTTATTTATTCACTTGTGTTTGATATCTGATGCGTCGGACCTTTCTACTACCGCTGCTGACTGCTGCCTTGTGTTGATGTTAGCTGCTGTGCTCCCAGGCGGCGAACCTGACGGCGCACGTGCGGACCCACTCTGGCGAGAAACCGTTCTGCTGTCCGATCTGCGACAGACGCTTCAGCCAGTCCTCGTCCGTCACCACCCACATGAGGACTCACTCTGGGGACAGGCCGTACAGGTGCGTCGGTCACTGCAGCGCTAACAAGCTGGCTTCCAGCAGGAGGCGCGTTTTTAAGGAGTTGTGGCGCACAAAAATTTTCAACTTTTGTTCTTCCTATAAAAACAGCAAATTGCCATTGTCGAAGCAACTTCTCAGCCCAACCAACGCCGAAAAGTTGAGATGTCGCTATGCTTACGTTCTGACTTCAGCTGACAGATAAAACGTGGCCATAAGGAAATTACGACTGCCCGGCCGAACGCACACGTCACCCACAGCACCCATGCCGGGACCAAAGCCTTGCAAAGTTAACATCTCCGCTCCTGGATCCTGCTCTGATGAATGTCGGTCGAGCAGTCATCAAACATTGCGGTGGAATTACAACCACATGACGCTTTGTTGCGCCTGGAACAAAAACAAAACACACTACACATCATGTGTATAAAAATCATTATTCCGGCCGCAAAGCGATCCGCAGGCTGGATCGAACCAGCCAGCGAGAACAGACCAGCGTGCCACACTTCAGCACAGTCTGGTTCCTCCCGCGTGGAGATGACTCGTAGGCAAGTTCTCGTTGGTGACCGTCACACCCGTTCCAGATGTCGCCTCTGCAAGAAGTCGTTTAGCGACTCGTCAACGCTCACCAAGCACATGCGGATACATAGCGGCGAGAAGCCGTACCAGTGCCGCATCTGCATGCTGCGCTTCTCGCAGTCGGGCAACCTGAACCGGCACATGCGCGTGCACGCGTCCAGCGTCTGTTGACGGCGAGGACGGGCCCTGTCACGCGTCGGCTCGCGGGTCGCGCCCCTCCCACGCCCCGCACGGACTGACTGCCGGCCGACCTGGCAGCTCAGCGGCGGTGTAACCGCATCGGGGGAGGGTCGGCGCGCTCCGACAGTAGCGAACGGCGACGGGCGGCCATCTTCTGACAGGCGTCACCCGGCGGCTCGATTTACCGCCGCGCGGGCCGTCAACGACTGTCTGTCGTGGTCGCGTGCTCGCTGGGGAGCAGCCGTTGCTCCTGAGCGAGCGCGCCTCGGCAGGAGGGCTCGTGGGCCGCTCGTGGTCGCTCAGGAACAGTCGCTGCTCCGGAGTGAGAGCTCCTCGGCAGGAGGGCCCGTGTGCCGCACATGGCCGCTCAGGAGCCGCCGCTGGTCCCGAGCAAGCGCGCGCCGGCAGGAGGGCTCATGGGTGGACCGTGCATGGTGCCGCCGGAGCTTTGCGGGGGCTACCCCTGCAGTCCGGCTCTGAAGCGCGGCCACTGGGCCGCTGTCCGGAGTGCTCTCAGGCGCGAGCACTGGGCCGCTGTCCGGGGTGCTCGTCTAGTCGAAGGCACTCCCGCAGGTCCGGCCGTGCTGTGATACTGGGCGTGGCCGCCGGTCCCGCGCCGACCGGTGCGGGCCAGAGACGCCACGTCGTCTGACTCGGCCCGGCGGATCCGATCCCGGCCGCCCGATCCGATCCGATCCGATCCGATCCGATCCGATCCGGTGAAACGCTCAACATTACCACGTCTAGTCGCTCGAAAGCGGGCCGCTTTACCTTTACCAAACCACTGCGCCGCGAGAAACCGCGCGTCTCGGATGTATTGACGTCCAGCTAGTGTGCGTGTGTGCACGTGTGTGTATGTGCGTGTCCTTGATCAGTGTAATATACGTCGTCACATGTCGAGCGTGACCTGATGTGGTGACCCGATGATTAGACCAGAGGCTAAGCCATTTGTATCTTCGTGACGTCAACGGCCGTCAACTGGCTCTCAATTACTGATGTGCAAAGCACGGTGACGTAATCAAACAGTGACGTATTCAGATGCGTCTTTACTAAACAGAGAAACTGTGTTGCCTTTCCACTAAAAGTAGAGCAATAGTTATAAGTGAGCATCATGCCAAGTGAGAATCATATATGATGCTTACTGAAATGTCGTCAACTGTGGAACATTTCCTTTGACAACGGCGAATAAAATAGTGAAAAGCTTGTTCACCATCAGCATGCGTGACTCGAAGCAGAAAGTCGACCCATGGCATTGAAACCATGTGTGGACTGGGCGCTGACGGCGCTCCAGTGCTGTCTTCAAGGACAGCTCACCTGAAAGGGAAGAGTGGAGGCAAACCGATAGACAGAAATATGTCACACGAGCATATCTCGCATTTGACTTTCTTTATGGGAGTCGAGGCAGCTGCAGAAATATTTAGTTGCGCAATTAGGGGGAGCCGCTGCGAACCGAGCTGGGGCGGGATGGCGTCGGCAGCGTGGATTAAGACAGGTCTGGGTCTGCTGATGTTTGGTCCTCCATTCCGAAGATGCCAAGAATCAGCCGCGACCCAATGTAAACAAACCCCAGATACCAGCGTCAAACAACATAGGTGTCGCGGGTGTAAAGGCCACATCTTATGCAAATCATCACACTTTGTTCTGGACATAAAATTTGTCAATTAGAGCTTTCTCACGTGATGGAGTGGGTGACGGAGTGTGTGCCATGTCATTCTACCTTGTGACTCGGATGCATCCTGCATTTTAGGTAGCTTTGATGTAATGTTTTCGACGAAGTTCAGCGTATGGGAACCCGCCAGCCGGGATGAGAAAGAAATGACAAGCATGGATGCCACAGATGATTTGGCAGACCCTCTACTCATTACCGCGTTTAACGTCATTCCGCCGTGTCGTTAATTGTCTCGCGCGTCCATGCTCAAACATCGTCTTGGGTTAAGGGAGCGGGTAAAATAGTGGTGAAGCTGCGCATCTGAGAAAGCATTTGTACGGCGTTCGATTCCCGTTGAGCTCGTCCTTTTTGCCTGGATGAGAGACAGGCGACGCCATATAGCTTATACAGCTGAGTGTGTCGTTAAGCCTCAATGACAAGGACTAGGCGTGGTGTTTTCCGTGTTGAAAAAATCCGCACCGTCTGGGGGAAAATTTGTGATGGCTTACAATACTTTAACTCGCCATCCTCTCCGTGGCAAGGGAGACACAACTTGATTTGAGGCACCCAAGACACTTCTCCGGACGTTTGAAAGTTCGCAGGCCGACGTCCCGTCTCCGGAGTCTCCGGTCATTTCATGAGCTTTTTGGAGCCCTACGCTCAGAGAGGTTCAGGACCTAGCTTTGTCGGCGTCATTTCCGTGGCTTTAGGCGTCAGGAGCCCGGCGACATGTTCCATAGGTGATCCTAGGCTACAATTTGCCAAGCCTCCTGGCAATTTGGCGTATTTAATGCAGTGTCATTCTTCGGACCATGAAGGTGTTCACTGGCTTTATAAGAGTTTCAGTCGACCTTTTACCGCTGCGTTGATGACTTGCCCGTCTAGCTCCATGAACGGTCATACTTCTCAGGTCGAGCGGCTGGCATGACGAGCAGGGACCACGAGACGGTGCCGTGGTTTTGGCGGGTCCGAGTATCTCGAGATAACCGCCGTCACATCAACACTGGGACCCTCAGATCGAGCGGCTGGCATGATGAGCAGCGACCATAAGATGGTGCTGTGGTTTTGGCGGGTCCGAGCGGCTCAAGATAACGGCCGTCACATCAACACTGGGACCCTCATCCACCAAATAAGATCGCCGGGGCGCCATCCCACATGGGTCATTGGACACCGAAGGACCGTGAGAACATCTATGACCACTTGGCATGCCCGTTAAGTCATTTTACGCAGAGGTAGGCAAGTCACAATTTTCTTTAAAATGTCATTACGTAAAGCTCATTGTCAACCCTTCCGTATCAACAAGCATTCGCTTCTGTCTGGAAGCCACATCAGACGTAGTCCACGCTCAGAATATGTTCGGCGCAAAGCCAAATTTCAGCACATTTTCCAAACGGAACTGGGCGTCTGGCCGACTCCCCAGTCTGGTTTGCCCGTCGTTTTCGTCGCGACGGCCATCTTGCCCGCCGGCGCTCGCGCGCCAGTTAATCGTATCACAGGTAGCCACGGCCCCAGAACTAGGGCTTCGCCAGCACTCTGCGGGCTTCCTGTCAACAGCCCAGTCCTAATTAAATCAATAACTCCGCGCCAGTGTAGCCCACTGAAAATATATTGCTCTGCTGGGACAGAAGGCTGCACCTCGACGGCGCCGGTATCGGAAACGATAGGAAGCAAAAAAAAAAACGCACCCGTCGTGGATAGCTTCGTCTGATGATCACTTGTACCATGTAAACCCTTTTATCGAGGAAATGGAACCAAGTACAAGGGAAGAGGAACGAAAAGTTCTGCACACTCAAGCGAAGTCCGGTGAAGCTCCAAATTGACGATATTGTCAGCGGTGGGCAAACGAACGCGAAAAGTAGAGGTGCCAAAACTCGTTCTGGCCACATTGTTTCCATGTGTTGCCATAGGAGCAACGTTTAAGCGGTTTCGAGCATTAGGCCAAGACTTCGAATCCCTGATTTAACATCTTTTGGTTACAATGTGTGCAGTTAGAAGTTTCCGATCTCGGAATCACGGTTTGTTGCCTCTATCTGGGGGCCATGTCAGTGACATTTTACTGAAGGGCGCCAAAGAACGCTCATTTCTCGCAGGACATGCACTCCCAAGGCGATTTCTAAACTGCTTTTTAAATACCTGCATCACCCTTAAGCGCATTGATATTGTTCGGCTGGCTTTTGAAAGATCAGGTCGTCCAAGATCAAGCTAGATCAAACTTTAAGATTTGGGACCGGACTGGACCGTTTGAAGGTCACATGCTTTGAATTTCAACAGCACATTTGACATGGCTTTGAAAGGTCTTTTCTGCCCTGCTCTCCACACTGATATGCTTGATGAGACTACGTGATGCTAACAGAAGACAAAACAGACCATCATACCGGCAAAAGGGTAAGTTGAATAGTGCAGTGCGCGCTATCACACAGTGGCGCGCAGTCCACGGATCCGCCATACCAATCATTAAGCGATGCGAATATTGGCCGACCCGTGCATGCGTCAGTAAGACACCTAGAATAGCCAAAGGTTACATTTTCTGAAACGGCCCCAAATATGACATGTGACATGCCTCAACTGAGACAAATCGCGTGGTAATAACTGGAAAGCCGAGGAGCTCAGTTTGTTGTGACCAATATTCACCTAACATAGTTGCGTTTTTCCCAATGCGTTTGTTAAGTCACTAAAAACCGAAGCTAATCCACTTTCCACTTGGACGATTAAAGCTGCCTGGCCTTGGCAGTGCCGAAGTCAGGCGACATTCCAGTGCTGCAATTTCTGAATTTGTGCGTTAACACTAAACATGAGTACATCTCTAAACTCATGCAGCTCTAAACTCCTGCTAAACCCATGAAAGGGATACATTCCAACGCAGTGAGTGATAGCAGTCACGTCTGTTACCACCTCTGAAAGGGGTACATTCCAACGCAGTGAGTGATAGCAGTCACGTCTGTTACCACCTCTGAAAGGGGTACATTCCAACGCAGTGAGTGATAGCAGTCACGTCTGTTACCACCTCTGAAAGGGGTACATTCCAACGCAGTGAGTGATAGCAGTCACGTCTGTTACCACCTCTGAAAGGGGTACATTCCAACGCAGTGAGTGATAGCAGTCACGTCTGTTACCACCTCTGAAAGGGGTACATTCCAACGCAGTGAGTGATAGCAGTCACGTCTGTTACCACCTCTGAAAGGGGTACATTCCAACGCAGTGAGTGATAGCAGTCACGTCTGTTACCACCTCTGAAAGGGGTACATTCCAACGCAGTGAGTGATAGCAGTCACGTCTGTTACCACCTCTGAAAGGGGTACATTCCAACGCAGTGAGTGATAGCAGTCACGTCTGTTACCACCTCTGAAAGG